CACAAACACATACAACACACATGTATCTGCACTCGCTCATTCAACATTTCACACCATTTGGGGACGCGGTCGCTTAGCGGCTCCCATATGCCGCGCTGTGTCTTCGCACACACGCACTTCATCGCTTGTGCCTGATTGACTCAAATCTTGATTAATGCGCTTGCTTTGCACGACGATTATCGGCTCTTCATCAGCGCGCTGCTTGTCGCGCGCGCATACCGTTCTCTTCTGTCCGCCGCTTTGTGTGTCAGTGTGTCGTGGCAATGGATATTGTTGTTTTTGTTTTTAGTGTTGGTGTCGGTTGTTTTTAGTTTAGTGGCAGCAGCTGCAGTGGTGGGCTCGTCGCCTCAATCGATGGCCAAAGTTGTTGACAGTCAAATGGGACAATATTGTGACAGGCGCAGATCAATCTGTGCGATTAAGATTTATGAGATCATGAGTGTATATACATATGTATATGTGTAGTATATACATACAGAAGTGGGCAACATGTTGCTGTTGCTGCTGCTGTTGCTTTAATATAGTTTATTGCATTCAGCTGCAGTTAGCACGCTATTAAAGTAGTATTTATTTTTATTGCAGCGTCAGACGTGTTTTCCTTCCGTCTTCATTAGAAAGTCTGTCGTTTGGCCCACATTCTTTAAAGTAGAACAGCAAATATTTTATTTGTATTTAAGTGGAACTCGTAATTTGGGTGCATGTCACCTGTGGATCTGGGCGTAAAATATGAAAGTAATTTGCCGAAAGTCTTCTAAATTGTAGACCAGAAAATATGAAATCGAAGTTAGGTTAGGTTCAGATTTGCTTCAACTATATTGAGTTCCGGAAATAGTTGGATATAGAATTTATTCTCTCCTATTTTTTGTATATACGTAATTTGATCGGAAAATATAAAAACAATCTGTCAAAGATCTTTCGCATTGGAGTTCAGAAAATTTAAAATGGATGTTAGGTTAGTTTCATATTGCATTTCAATCGAAATTTTACATCCTTAGTTTAATAGCTCGGGTTGGGCTTAGAACGTGGTTGAATATCTAAGTGCTTCTCTCCAAAATTATGTTCTTAAAAGATAAAATAATAAATTGATGTTTGGTTAGGTCCAGAACATTGTTAGATATGTTGTGTGTCTCAATAGGTTATAAAATGCCACATTTGATAACTAACTCGAGAAGGCTTAATAGACCGCGCTCATCAGTATGTTTGTCGCACTAAAGAACACACCAACCATAACACTTAATTTCGTTTTCCACATATTTATATTTTACACATTGAAGTCACTATTAGACTGCAGGAATCTGGGTTTCTAAATGAGTGTATTCCTGAAAACTTGGGCGTCCTTTGAATTCTATATGGATCATACAGTCACCGAACCAAGTTCCGGCGGTTCTTCACTGACATCATGAGAGTGATGTTGGGTGTGTGTCAAGCTTTAGGCCAAGGGTTGGTGTAGGTGGCTACTACTGTAAACTATCTATCCATAGCAGCTTCAGATTTCTTGATTATTGCACTTTTTCAAGCCGAGGTTTCTGCCATCAAAGCAACATTTGATTTACTGCTCCAGATCTCTAGGAAGATGACTATCTATTCCGATATTGCGTTCGAGGTTGGAAATGCCTAACCAATCCAATCAAAGAACTAGTTTGGATGTCAGGTTTTAGAGGAATTGCAAGCATCTGGAAAGCCTATAAGTTGTCGAAAAATTTCAGCTACACTGTCGTTGTAGTGGGAACAGTTCGGTTCTCCGCAGTTCTCTTGTGGATAACTATTTGAAAGCTGCGTTTGAAGGGGGCTGGGTGAACGATTGGCCATCTCTCTAAGAAGGTGACTAGCCATTCCGGTAGTAGAACGTATGTATATATGTACTAACAATGAACTCTGTGACCGTACGCTTGAGGTTAGGAATGCCTCACAATCAAGGGAATAGGGTTATTTATTAGTAATAGAATGGATGGCGGACTTTAGAGGTACTGCAAAGCTGATCATTTGGCAAGGAAGGGCATCAGCTTCACTGTCGTTGTAGTGAGAACGGATCGATGCTTCACAGTTTTTTTATCTGTAACTATTGGAAAGCTGAGTCTGGCGGGAATTGAGTGAATGCTTGGCAACTATTGGTACCTGTGCGGGAGCAGGAAAGTAAAAGGCAAGAGATCCAGTGCGCTCTTCGCACTCAGCAGGATTAAACTTTTCCTAATTGTACATATTACAACTGGATTTAGTTAGTAAGGCTTAGAATCTTATCTGGTACAGTTGTAGAAACTGCTTAAAGAAAAACGAATTAAAAGAGGGGTCAAATCGAGAACATCAAAAAAGTAAAACCAAATGTCAGAAACCAATATTCTTAAACGTGTCGGCCAGTTTGTCTCTGTATTTCGTAATATTCAGTCAATGTTTTGGCCGAAAATGACCTATGCTGATCCATTTGTGAATATCTTTTCAGTATGGTCATTACTTCTTCAAACTAAAGTTTACATTTTTTTATCAAATTTATTCGACATTCAAAACAAAGTTACCCTTGCTTGTATCGGACTTTTTATCACTTTTACTAAATTCTGATTATAAATGAATTAATAGTAATTACAAAGTCAGGTAAAATTTCAAAGACTTGCAATGAAATGCGCAACAGGAAAACAAATTATCTGTCGGAATAATGTACAACTTCAGTAGAGTTGCATTTATCTAACCTGTTTCTCATGATTCCACAACGTTTCTATGCCAAAAAGAGAGAAACTTAACGAAGATAACTCTTATACGGTGAACAGATAACGTATTTGAAAATACAAATGCTGAAACATCCTCTGGAAAATATATGTTGTCAGTTCTGCTTTAACATACTCTTGTTAAGTTACATTGATTTTGTTTGTTATGCTTTAACATTCTCTGGCAAAGTTACATAGCTGTTAATAATCACTTAGCAGTGAATAAAACTGTTAACTGCTTTTATAGCTGACATAGCTGTCAGTAAGGAAGTAGGTGGGATTGCTGTTAAGAAATTAGGGTTTGTAAATTTCTTTTTAACTTATGAATGCTATCATTACCTCCCTATAAGGCAATGTCTAGTCTAACCCAGTTTGTTTAGATGGAAGCCAATCCGATGAATTTTTTCATTGTGATGGTTCTGTGTAAAGCGAGTAATCAGTACTAGTTTTAAAGGCTTCTCTCTGCTCGAAGTTCAGTGCCCAGCTTCGTTCCTTATATACCCCAAGGGAGTGAGATTTTTTGCCAGAATACCTTTAAACCATACGGATTCATGACAGCCTTCTACGATTTCGCAGAAGGCTCTCCACAAGTTCTCTTAATGTCCTTCAGTTCAGACTTATAAATAAATCCGCTCTACTGCGAACATTCTTGAATAGTCTACTGCTGCAAAATCTGACTCCCCATCCTTAATGTCCCATAAGGGTACTCGGAAACTATCGCATATACATATAACTTCACAGAAATATTTTATAGTGACTTCAGTACTATTTATTTGTTATTATTGTAAGCTTTAGGCGAACAATTTAGTTAAAGCTTAAAACGTGCATTTTTCATAGAAGTTAAGGATTAAATTTCTCAATTGTGAACTTTGAAGAAATTCTGCCACCAATGTGCGAGCAGATCAAAATTCAACAGAAATTGAGTATTCGTACGATTTCTGAAAGCCTGCGCGAGTTGACCAAAATTCGAAGGAATTTTTTGAACGATCGCTCGTTCCTCCGTTCACACTAAATTCGGCGCTGCAAGTGTCGCAACAACTTTGTCGCTACAGTCTACATATGTATGAATGCCGTCAGAATAGTTTAGATTTTAAGGGCTTACATGGGTTTGCGGTTTCAAAAAATCAATTTTTTTATTCTCCAAAATTCTCAAGTTTATCCGAATAATAGCTTCGGAGATACAGTAAAAGTTTTATTTATTTTGATACCCTTTTGAAGAAGGTGGTAATAAAAAATGGTAATATTAAAAAAAAAAATGGTTTCCGTTTTCTTAACCTTAAGGATAATTTTTCCTCTAGTTTATCCAACCCTTGAAAAATTTAACCAAAGAAATGTATGTCTGCTAAATTTAATGCAACAGCCATTGCTGGAAGTGGACTGCTGGATTTGCTGTTAAACCATAGAATGTTATAAGATATTATCGTTCTCTGGTTAAAGTTGTAATTTAACAGTCACTGCAAATACTCCAATGTTTGCCACATATCAAACTGAAAAAAATGCTGTAAATGAAATTCATGCTAAAGAATGTTACTGTTTATATTTATCAAATTTATTAACATTATCTCTCAACAGTAATTCCTAAGCCAAAAAGTCAACAAACTCTTCAAGTACCGCTGTAAACTCACTAGATAAATAGACGTTGTAAATAACGAAAATATGCTAATACTGGAATCTTCGTTAAAAACATTTTTCGTTATGCTCTCTGTTTTGGTTGCTCAAAAAATGCAGCTGAGCACGTATGCAACAGCATCGTACCTGTGCGGCTACACACATCCATATGTAAGAATGTATGTCACAGCTGCTGTTGTTATTACTCACGCGCTGTAATGGAGAGCAAAAATTTACGGAAAATTGCTAAAATACAAAGCAACATTCCCAATAAGAATACTTATTTATGTACGCAAGTATTTGTAAAGAGTTCTCGCTCTTCCGCTCCAATTGCAGTGAAAATAATCCACACAACTTCGCATTACAAAATGCCTAACCGAATGCATGGCGCTTACTCTACAAACGAGCAGGGATACAAGTGTTGCTCTCAAAGCGCCCGGGAGCGCTATAGTGCGTTGTGCTGCGCATCATCGCCTTGAACGACGACAACAGTCAGCGCTAACACCACCACAACCTTTCACCAGCACCACCACTAACAGCAGCAGCATTGCCTTTAACAGCAACGACGAACATGTCACCCAGCCACCACCATGCAATAATTTATGCTCAGCACATGTGTACACGAGTACATTGAAGGGCCGGCCAGGCAGTGAGCCATCGTGCAACTGTAGCGGAACTGCGCAACGAATGGTCGCACAGTCGCTGCCGAACACTCTACGGAGTCAGAACAAATTTGTATTAAGCGCGCTTAAACGTTTAGTTAACGCGTATAAGCCGAACGTACGTTTGTTTGTGTGGTTCGTTGCCGTCAAAACAACGGTACTTTTTTGGATTATCATTTTTATTCGTGTACCCAGAACGACAACTCGTCGTCGTCGAGGAAAATCTGAAGTTGGTGTTTTCCATATACATACATACATATATAATTGTGTTTTTATTTTTATTTTTTTCTCGGGCGCGTTTATGACCGTACTAGATATTATAGGTGTGTGTGCGTATGTGTACTTCCGCCACATATCGATGTTGTTTCGCGTTGACGACGCGTCGCGCAAACCGAACTTTGCATATTTCGACGTAGGATTTCCGCAAACAGCGCGCGTACATTTTTGTGTGTGAGTCCAAACAAATGATAAATGAAAATTGTTGCGAAAAATAAATACACAACGCAGTAAGAGTGTTTGAGGCAACTTGAAAAATGTGCTTTTGGCATAAGTAAAAATTTGTCGCTAACACGAAGTTGGTGTTTGAAATCATGGTTGTATTGTGGACTTTAACGAAAAATGATAAGAAAGCTAAAATACGTTGAGACAACGACGTCGTTTCTAGTGGGCGCAACGTTAGGAAGCAACAAATGTGTTGGATAATAGCGTCTTTTGGACAGACAGCTTGCGTTTTGAAAGCCAAAAAACGCTGCGGTAGTCACGAAGTGAATATACGAAAAAAATTATGTGTGAAAAAATAATTACTACAAAAAAAAACAAAAATAATTTTATAGTTATAAAATTTGAGGCGTATTATTAAAACTATAATGAATTAAAGCCACTACGGAAAAGTTTTACAGTTACATAAAATTTTAAATACTGTAAAACCAAATAACGGTAAATGATTTTAAGCGATATCAACAGATAATGTAGAACTGTGCGGGAAATTGCAAAAATAAATATTTTGATTTATTGTAATCATATTTGGTAATCACTACATATTGTAATCATTATATGTCATAATCATTACATATTAATTACAATTATTTTCTGTGAAGAATTTGAGTTTTGAAATAAATTCGTCAAAAAATGACTTAATTACCCACGTAAAGTAATTGGTCTAATGGTAAATATATAAAAGAAGTTGTGAGTGTTAGCGAAAAATATTATCTTAACAGAAAGAAGGAACAAAGTTGTAAAAAAATTAACAGTGAAGTCGAAGCAATAAGAAAAAAAATTTCAGAACAAATCAGCAGTAAAGCTGAAAAATATGACCGAAATAAAAATTAACAAAAATTTACTGTGAGTCTGTAATATATTTACAACAACATATCAAACAAAAAATATTAATAAAAGCATAGAAGTTAAAACCAAGTGAAAAATATAGATTTCTCGAACAAAAATAACAAAAAAAAAATTTACAAAACAATTGCAACACATAAAAAAAGTATTAATAAATAAAAATTATTGTAATAACTCACCAATAGCAAGCAATCTGCGCAGCAAAACAAAAAAAAAAGATTAATAAGTAATAAAAAATATTTAAAAAAAAAAAATTTACTGCGCTTTATGTAGCACAACAGCTGTGAGAAAAATTACTGCATTTATTTTCAAACTAAAGAAAAAATTTTTGCGGATTTAATTCGCACACAGAAAGCTCACAACACCAATTACAACCCAACTAATTCAACGAAACGCTTATAAAAATAAAAATATAAAAATATTTCCAAAACAAAAAATAAAAAAATATTTCCCAAACAAAACAAATAAAAAATATTTCCCAAACAAACTGCACACTTTACAGCAGCTCATAAAAGTGTGTGTACATAGCAATTTGTTTGAGCTTGTTGTGGATTTACGTGTTTAAGCAATTAAAGCCAACTTAAAGCCGCACACCACAAGCCACCGCAAGCGCTGCAACCGCCACTCTGTGCAACTGTGAAATTGCTTCATTTTTAATTTACCAGCTGCCTACGAAAAGTTAAACACGCGAGCGTGTTATATTTTTACAAAAAAAAAAAATAAATAAATAAATAAATAAGTGTGTGTATTTTCTGTTGTTTGTGTAAAACTTTTGCACCGCATGCATTTTTAATAGCTTTTTACACTTCAACTGCTGCGAAGTGCAAGCGTGTGGATTTAATAACGTTTGGTGTTGATACAAATAATTCGGTTTTGCAACAAAAATAGCAACAACAAAGCGATACAGGTGAGTGGCGATTTTGTTGTATTTATCTATGGTGTATGTTGCGTGAAGCGCTCACCCACTAGCACACTTCAAATTCAGCTAAATATTTAGTATTAATTAGTTAAAGAAGGTTGGCAGCCAACGTTTATGAAAAGTGCTAGCATTGGTCTTAAAAATATTGACAGTGCGCTGGTTTGCTTTGGTGCATAAATATTGGTTTGGTGGACTTACATGAATCTATGTATGTATGTATATGTGCTACGTTCTACAGAAGTTAATCAAATTGTGTTTGGCTTGTTTGCGTGCAATTGTGTATTTATTGGCAAATAAATTTCAAATTTATTTTTCACAATATTTCAAAACAGTTCTGTTTTGCGTTAATTAAATACGTGAAACCAATTTATATATTTTCAATATTTTTTTGACCTTGCCACATTTAGGACATCTTCATTATTGCTTCGCTTATTTGCCAATATACCTAATAACTCGTACATTTTTGAATTTTTATGAGGCATTATAAACTACCCAATAAATTCAGGCAATTAGTGACTTTTCCTCACATAAAGCTCAATATGTAAATAGAGGTGCTTTACAAGATGTTTGGTACTAATGATGGATAATATATTTTATGTGTTAATTAAACAGTCATAAATGTTTTTGTTGACCTTGTTCTGTAATCTAATGCAATCTGAATTATAAGAAATAATACGAAAATTTCCAAAAAATATCATTTATTACATATAAGCATTTTTTAATTTAGAAAAATAACAGATTAGTATTGAGTAAAAAAAATTTGAGCGATTTTCTAAAGGAAAATTAACGAAAACCATAAAAAACTTTTAACTTCACATTGTAGTATGTATTATAAATTTTTTAGGAAACAAAAAGTATTATTTTCGCTCTCATTTCAGAACATTTAATGATTCGTTTCCAAAGTTAATTTCTTCAAAAGTCCCCTCTTTAAAGATCTCAACCTTTCTGGTTTGTTTTCAATGAGAGTGAAAAAATTTTAAATTGAATATTTTTTACATTGCAATAAATGGAAACCATATACATTATTAAATTTAATATTATTCACTCTCATTAAAAACAAGCAAAAATATTGAGTTCTTTACAAAGTTATTTTCTCTTGTATACCTTCATTGATCACTTTTAAAGTCATATCCTGGTTTATAATAGAAGAAACGGTTGTTCAATACAAAACGTCTTAATAATTTTTCGAATAAAATGTCGGTAATGAAATTTTGTGAGAAATTAGCAACAAAGCTCTAAATAGATTCCAAATAAAAACCCGATTCCATATTCGTATATTCAAATATTTTTGCTTCCTGAATGAAATGTCTAGAATGCCTTATAAAGTATCCATCATTAAGATTCTTATTCTAACTTAGAAAAAGGAAAATTCTGGCAAGAACTTTAATAATTTTTTTCTCACAAGTTTACTATTGAATTACAAATGTAATTGAAAGATCTCTGAAACATCTTCCAATTAATTCAGACATCGAAAATTCTTTAAGAAAAAAATAAAAAAAGAGCATCTAACATTATTTAATGCGAATAAGAAAAATTTAATTTGTTGGGTATCAGTTGATGTTTATAACATATATATGACTCGAAAGTATTATTTACACATAGGAAGTAAATTAAAATATCTTAAAGTGCAAAAAGTGATATAGACTAAAAACGAGAATTTTTAGTGTACTTTAAGGGGTTATATTCTCCTGAAAGGCAGCATAGCATTTTAGTTATCAAATAAATAAAAAAGGATAAAATTTTGAAAGTTTTTAAAATTTTGTAATAATTTCTACCTAAGGTATTTCTAACCAAAATTACACTTTCCACTCTGTAGACTAAAAATTCGAAATTATTATCAACAATTTTATTCATTTTAATATTATGTGATAGATTTTAAAGTGTATTGTGAAAATTTCAAGTCGCATGGCTGTGCTGTTACGGAGAAACTTTCGTCACTGCCTTAGAAAACAGCGTTTCGAGAAAGATTGATCAAAAAACACATAAAGAATTTTTATTTTATGTATATTTAGCTTTCAAGAGCAAATAAAACATATTAAAAATATATTCATATTTTTTATTGACTTATTAAATTCTACAACATCTCCAAAATATTGTCATAAATTTTAAAGTTGATACGAGTAATAGTTTCGGAGATACAGCCTTGGGAACTTGCGCGCACGGGGCTAGCTAGGCTAAGTGCATCGTCGTTCTTAACTGATTTTTAACATAGGTCTTTCAGACACAAAGACTTGGATTTTCTTCGATTACAACTATTAAAAAAAAAAAAAAATTTCGTGAAATTTTAACTAAAATTTTTATTTTTTTGTACAAATGTCTCTCAAAAATTCAATTTTCAATTTTTTTTCTCTGTTCAAGTTCTAAGTTAAGGTTTTAGCTAAACAACAATAACTTCAACAATAAAACATTCTAATAAGATGTTTAATTTTTTATATGAGAAAAAAATTCCTGAAAAGGGATCACCACCAACTTAAAATGCATTCAACAGGCTTAAAAAATGTGCTTCATTTGCAACTTTTGTTACTTTTTTTTATATCAAAGAAAGATATTCTCATACAACAGCAACATTTCTGCACAATTAGATTCGCACAAAACACAAATTTCTTCCACTCAATGCAATTCTTGTTTACGCCTGCAAAAAACCTCTCCCGTGCACAATCACTACACCAACACTGTCTTCGGCAAATTATCTAAAAAAGCATTAGCAAATAAAAATTGTGCATGTACCTAACACTGTTGGCTGTCTAAGCGTAAAATGTACGGCAGATGTACATTTAAGATTTGTTGACTAAATGCTCGAGCCTACGCACTGGCCTGCTTAATGATGAAAGAATGATAGATAGCAGGAAAAAAAACAACACCAACAAAACACCGTACTAAATTATGCCTGCGTATGCCAGTTTTATCTGATCGGCCGCAGCGCACAAATTAAGCGAAATTACAAAGGCATCATAAATGCCGCCGTGGCGCTCCCTGCACCCAGCACACCATGGCGAACGCTGCAGCAAGCGCATTAATTTCTTTACGTGTCCACTGTGTCTACCATTCACCTTACCGCATAAATATATTTGAGACGAAATGAGCGCACATTTGATTTCATTTAATTTCACTTTGTTTTGCGCTTCATTTGTGTTTTGTTGCCGCTTTACCCAGCGCTTGCTTCTACTTACTACTTGCTTTATCAAATGCACCCAATCTTGTCGTGGCTGCTGTGTAACCGAAAATTGTCTATGTGCCGCTTGAAATTTATTTATTAATTTTTTTTTATCCACTTACATTCATTCTCTTACTTGCTGCCACGATAAAGCAAACGCGTTAACATTTTAAGTTTATTGCTGAAAAAATTATGAGCAGGTAATTATGTGAAAAATTATGTTTGACAATTAAAATTCTTCACATTTCCGTCTTCGCCATGCGCTTGACGTTGCCTGCCGTTGGCATATGGCCCCCAACGCTTTGATCTTCTAATGTCGATTATACGGTCGCAGTGACGACAAGTGACGGTAAAGCGCGTGTGGCAAGCAGTCATTGCTACTGTAGTTCGCCATGTGGCTGCCGCAAGTTTGCCGACACTTGCTGCATAAGCCGCAAATTGTAAGAGCCCCTCTTTTGGGCTTTTATTGCTTTTTCCCCAGACTTTACGGTGATTTTTTTATTATACCCTGAACAAGGTACATATAGAAGGCTTGGTAAGAAATTCGTTATATACAAAAGGAAATGACGGAGATCCTACTATGCAAATAAATGATCTGAGTCGATTTCACCGTGTCCGGCTGTCGGTCCGACTGTATAAATGCGAACTAGTCGCTCAGTTTTTAAGTTACCGTTCTGAAATCTTGCACAAGTTCTTTTCTCGTCAAGAAAATACTCCCTTATTGAAATGGACCATATCGAATCATTATGAAATATAGCTACCATACAAACTAGACGATCAAAATAAAGTTCTTGTATTGAAAATTTTTTTAATTGATATATCTTCACGGAATTTTTCACGAATTGCTATCCAATTTAATGGCACATCCTCTGAAAAAATGTTTCATATCAGAGCACTTTAGCTTATAGCTGCCATACAAACTGAACTAACAAAATCAAGATAAAGAAGTTTTTGTACCATTTTCAACTATAAGAAATCCAAGTGTGAAAGGTATTTTAGCTTGGGTGTAGCCATAGTAAACAGTTTTTCTTGATTTTTTTTCATTTTATAAATACATACACAATTTTTTTTTTCACTTGCTCTCTGCAGCTCCAATCACTTCTGGTATGCGTGGCATTTATGTGTGGCATTTGGCGTTCGCTGCTTTGTTGGTATACATATTCTTGCTGTTTTTTATTACTGTTTGTTTGCTTAATTCTCTTGTTGTTGTTATGAAAACAGATTTTTCCTATAAAACAGTTGAAATTCCGTATTTTTCGTCTTGATTGCAGTCAGTTAGCGTGAAATTTATTGATGATTTGATTTGCTCTTCATGCTTTGTCTAATGGTTTTTGAATTTCTTTTAACGGTAATTAGGTTTACTTGCATTTATTTTTGTTTAACAGCAGTTCATTTCAGAAGGTTTAGGAATATTTCAGCTTAATTTTTGTGGTGTGTATGTTTTATAAATGTGGCGTGCGTTTTCATCTCTTCAATATTGGTACTAGTTCGTGAGTAATAAAAAACACTCATTTTCGATGAAGTTAAATTATATTGTAAACATACATACATAAATACATCATTTATACAAAATATTCATTTAAAATGCAGAAATTATACGCTTTAAAGTAGTTTTCTGCATTACCATAGCTTGCATTATAATCAATGGAAATGCTTCGAAACCATAAATTCTATAAAAAAAGCGATACTCTGAAATAAAATATTAATTTGTATTTGTTATATAAATATTTCAGTAAATTTGCAAATCGCGTTGCTTCAAATATTTTTGAAAACAAATCCAATAGACTAAATTAAAAGGCTCTGTGGAGGAGTTTAAGTTGCTTGAAATTCAAAA